AAATGTTAGTTTTACTCTTGTCACATGTATTTTGCATGCTTATCAGTATTTATTGCAGACAATGGATGCAGAAACTATACCATCCAGTCAACAAACCACAGAACTAGAGCTACACATCAGCCCAATTCTCACAAATGACAATGTATGCTCTGTTTGCACTTTTTGTATCAATTCTCACCTTGTTTATAATATCAGGTTGATGATGTGGCTTTTGTAGGGAATGCACATCATACAAATGTGTTTGAAGAAGCATGGAACCAGATAAAAGTGAGTGAATGTTCATGTAAAAATACTTTTGAGACTGTCATATGCTCATTATCTACTCAGTCTCATTTATCCTCTTCAGACTCAGAGAAGGATATGAGTTCAGATGAGGTGATACCACTTCTTTGTTTTATACAAGCAAATATTGGCTTACAATATATACATAGATGGATGTGGACAATAATGACAACACCATGGTGGGCTTTACATCTAATACTGTAGAAAACATATGTTTACACCAGTTTTAGCATGACAACAAAGACTCTATGCAGATACACTATTCAGATATTGGAGGTCAAGTACATTCTCCTGTCATGAAGCTTGAAGAAGGGGGAGAACATCCTGATGAGGGTACAACAAGTTTGGATCATAGTCAAACTAACATTAAACATCTGGTAAAGTACACTGATATTCATTACATGCTTGAGCTGATCCGTTGACAGGGCAAGCAACAGAGAGAGGAGAAAGCACATCAGGTATGTTTTGGATGAGGTATTGCTAGCCAACACATAATTTGACACACAACCAGAGTGATGAAAAAAGTGACAGTGACAGTGATAGCGAACCTGAGGTGATGGAAATAAACAAAGTGAGCAACTGCCATGCCTGTAGTGCCTTGACACCTATCTTGCTTCTGATGAGATGCAGGAAACACAAAATGAGGACAATGGAGAGGAACAGGTCATGGTGATAGAAGAGCAGGACCAGGCACAGGAGGAGCAGCCAAGAGAAAAAAGTCAGCAAACACAAAGTAATGTCAGTAAGGATGTAAGATATCAAAGGTTTTCACAGAAGGAATAGCAGTTATAACCATGTTTATGCAGACTCTTTCCACTTCCCTGTCAATGTCTGTTTCTGGAGGCCCCAAAATCACTAAAGGCCAGAACAAAGCAAAGGTAACCATCTTTGTTTCATCACAGTTGCTTACATTGCTCATGCATTAGATATTTCAGGGTAATCGCAAAGATGGACAAAACAGTACTGTTGCTCAGCCTGCTCAGAACACAGCTGTAGGACTTTGTGCATTGCTAGATGCGAGCGTACGCTTACACACATGTGTTTTTAGCCAGGGAAAAAACCCAGACAGTACAAAAGCCACAATAAGGACAAATCCCAACCGGGGTTCAATCCATTCAAGCAGTTTGCTGACCACATTGCCACAGGTATCAGTGACACTTATCTTGGCTGTGGCCTTGTGCCTGTCATGATGAACACCCTGCTGGAAAATGGTCCTACCCTGGCCAAGAGAACCATCAACCTGCGTGGCCTGGATGAAAAGTACCTTGCTGCCTTTGAAAAAGAAGTCAAAGTCAAGCAACTCCGAAACAAGCATGTGGAGAATGCACTGTTCATTGGAGTTCACCGCCCGCATATTGATCTGACCAGCTTGGTGGACCAGAACATGGGGATTTTGACTAATCCTGTCAAGTTCAAAGGTGTTTCAGGAACAGAGCCAGCATATGAGCTTGTGGTCATCAACGGGTCTCACCGCATTGAGTATATGCAGACCAAGTCAGAATGGATTGGTATACTCAACGAGTACCATGAAATCATAAAGATGCAAAAGGAGGGCACAGCAACAGCAGATCATGCAGAGGCCAAGGAAAGGTGTATCCGTGCATTAGTAGAGAATGGGGTGTGGTCTGCTAAATTCTTTGATATTGGTAAGCATGGCATGTATCACAACCGGTTTTAAACAACTCACCTTGATCATGAAACAGACATGATCAACCAAAGTCCACAAGCTGCGAGTATTATGTTGGACCTTGCTCAGAACCGCCCCCTCATCCAGAAGCTGGACACAGACACAGATGAGCTGGGCATGATTCTCAATCTGATTGCCAAAACACATCAGCAAAACCAGGATCTGGTGCCCCAAACAATGCAGGAATACTTGAACCTCCACAACAAAACTGGAAACAACTCTGTCATGCCTGCTATTTTCCGCGACAAACTTTTGTGGACAGAGCTGCTCAAATACATCCGTGTCCCCCAATTCAGAAAGGGCGACAGGGCTGGGTTCAGTACCCGTGTGGTGGGAAATATAGCCAAAACACACAGTGGTGTAAGCCCACTTTTCTGACTCTGCATTCCTGATGCTGACTGCTCTTCAGGTGATGCTACCCCAGATCCGGTTTCTCACCCAAGTCCTTGATTTCCTGGCTACTCCAATTGAGTTTGCTTCACAGAGTGAATGGAAGAAAGAGTTTAACCAGACTCTACAAAAGCAAGGTAGCAGCAGCTCTGACACATCCCGAGAAAGGGCCTGGATGCTTTTTTATCAAGCCAAGGTCCAAGAAGTTCAAAAAATGGCTGAGACTTGGCTGGCATCCAATGAGTCAGACTGGAGTCTCCTTGAAAGAAAACACTTGGCAATTTGGGAGGATGTTTACTTGGCAGACAACAATGCCAAAAGCTTGCTTGCAGGCTATGGTGCACACCCAAAACGGCATACACCTGAATACAATATTGTCCATGGCAAGAGAGCACACATCTTCAACCTATGTATATCCTCTGCCAGGGAGCATGCTCGGAGCCTGTCAGCAGACGACACAAGTGATGCTGCTGTGGTGGACAGAGGCATGGCCAAAAAGTTGGTGCTTCTTGAAGACATGATGTTTGCCAAGGATACCTTTGGCCGTGTTGCCCGGTTTGCACCACCACCAACCAAGTACTTTTTTTCAGGTGTGAACCAGGTCCTCACTGAGGTGAAGGGTGCATTGGAACAGGTAAGTTGATCCCCTTTGCTCATGCGTGCGCACGCATTGACACTGTTCCCACTCTACAAGGTCATGTTTTGGATTGACCCTCTTTCAACCATGTTCCTCAGAGGCGACAAGCATCTGTGGCCAAACACAACTCAGTGCTTGCATGCATTTGTCTGT